GAGTACTTTGAAGACGAAATACACGAGAAGGAGAGGAGTAAGAAGAGGAAGAAAAAAAAAGATGAGGGGGAGGAGGAGGAAAAAAAAGGAAGAGGAGGAGGAAGAGCAGGAAAAACTGGAGTAGGAGGAGGAAGAAAGGAAGGTGAGAAGGAAGAGGAGGAACAAGTGGAGTAGGAGGAGGAAGAAGAGAAAGAGGAAGGGGAGGAGGAAGAGGGAAAGTGGAAGAGAGGAGAAGAAGAGGAAGTGAGAAGAGAAAGAGGAGGAGGGAGAGGAGAAGAATAAGAAAGGAGAGGAGGAGGAAGAATAAGAAGTGGAGTAGGAGGAAGAAGAAGAGAAAGAGGAGGAGGGACCGACGCCGTTCGCGCGCCCATGTCAACATTGTAGAGGTGCTGAGACGACCGAATCTGTCACCACCTCCTCCAAGACCTCTGACAGCAACTCAAAGACGGATGTGAATGCACCGGGGAGGAATCCGCCCCCTGGACCTCCCTGTTAACAGCACGCCCACTTTTGCTTCCTCCTCTAACTTTGTTTTTTAATTAACACGCGAGTTTAATCTGTTCCTGAGAATAACATTGATCACTGATGAGTCTTGCTATGTAAACTCATTCTGTAAAAGTTATAAACTTTACTGAAATTTTACTTTACGCACATATACGTACATAAATAAATGAAAACATTAAATTGATCACTGATGAGTCTGTTATACAAATTTATTCAATACAGATTATAAACTTTACTGAAACATTGCGAATTTAACGTGATATAGCAATGTATATCTCTGGCGCTGTTCTGTGTGACTCATGCCTCTGTAAGTATTAATGATAACAAGAATGAAGCTTTACGGTGTTATCTTCAAAACAAGGAAGGGGTAAGGATAAAAAATATGAAGAGGATAGATAAGAGAGGTATGCGATGGAATGAAAACTGAAAGACGGTGAAAAGATTAGATTATATCCGCCATATCAAGTAATCTCTTTAAGATGGGAGAGAAAAAATATACAGCCAAGTACTTTCATTCATCCTCCCTCTCTCTCTCTCTCTCTCTCTCTCTCTCTCTCTCCTCTCTCTCTCTCTCTCTCTCTCTCTCTCTCTCTCTCTCTCTCTCTCTCTCTCTATCTATCTATCTATCTACCTACCTATCTATTGTATATGAGTGTGTGTGTTTTCTGTGGTGTTGTGTTTGTGTTTGTGTGTTGTGTGTGTGTGTGTGTGTGTGTGTGTGTGTGTGTGTTGTGTGTCTGTGTGTGTGTGTCTGTGCGTTTGTGTAACTGGTTGAGATTACAAACAAGGAAAATAAATTTGAAACCTTTTTCTTCCATTGCAACACATATGGATTATCTAGATGCCGTGTTATCCATACACAAAGCTTGTTATCCACTCCGTCCGGGAGAGATATCACTCGCGCACTTGCCAGTTCCTCAAAACAGCCACTTGGTGAGATTTTTATTAAAGGCCTCCCTCCGCACGCAGTCTCCGTCTCTCTCTCGATGCTATTTTATATCGATCGAATATAGTCCACTCCTGGATGAGTGAGTTGGTGATCTCCACTTTTGTTGATTAACCACATATTATCTAGATGCATTGTTATCCATTAGCTTGATTATCTAATTCGGGAGAGATATCGTCCACCTCGCGCACTTGCAGTATCCGAAGAAAAGTCACATTTTTGGTTGAATTATTCCTTTTCCTCCATTTGAAGCACTTTCAGTCACTGTTTTTTTATTCTCAGTGAAATAATCCGCAATAAATTATGAAGACTAGTTAGAAAGGACTCTCCCTCCGACTTCTCTCCCTTTTATGATATACAAATCGATGAAAAACTAAAATTGATAGTGATTGACCTTTTTTTTGGATATACAAGATCGATCCCAAAATTATCTGATTGATAAAAAACTAACGATTCTATGCAAGTTCATATTATATCTAAAGATGTGGAACGGAAGCCCATATATACTGTTGTATTTTTCAACTGTAATATCCCCTTGTTGTATTCACTGATCCGTTTATTACGCTATATTGGTAAGGGTCTTTTTTTGATTATTTAAATGTAGGTGCTTCATTTTTTTTTTTTTTTTTATTCTATGTGTAGCTCTTTGAAGTAAAAAAAAAAAAACATTTTACTAGTCCAAGCTTTCTCTCTCTCGCTCTATTCGACCTCCCTCCCTCCGACTCCCTCTCACTCTCACCTCCTCTCCCACTCCCTCTGTCAGTCATCTCTCTCTCTCTCTCTCTCTCTCTCTCTCTCTCTCTCTCTCTCTCTCTCTCTCTCTCTCTCTCTCTCTCTCTCTCTCTCTCTCTCTCTCTCTCTCTCTCTCTCTCTCTCTCTCTCTCTCTCTCTCTCTCTCTCTTCTCTCTCTCTCTCTCTCTCTCTCTCTCTCTGCAGCATCGCACACACACACACACACACACACACACACACACACACACACACACACACACACACACACACACCACACACACACACACACACACATACTTACTCACACAAACACATACTTACATAAAGTGACATGCCAGATGGCAGGCAATCAGCCCTGTCGCCACTGTATCTGCTGATGGATGTTCAGCCCAAACGCTCCGTGTTCTGCTCCTCTTAGAGATACACATACATACATATGGGTGGGTATGTATATGTGTATATACATGTGTGTATACATGTATATGTGTGTGTGTGTATATAATATATATATATATATATATATATATTATATATATATATATTGTATGTATGTATAATTATGTATGTATACATGTATGTATGTATGTATGTATGTAATGTATGTATACACACATACATGTACACATACACATATATGTGTGTGTAAGTGAGTGTGTGTGCGAATGTGTCTTTATATACATACGTATATAGATGTATAAATATATATATGCACACACATACATACATACATAAATATATATATATATGTGTGTGTGTGTGTGTGTGTGTGTGTGTGTGTGTGTGTGTGTGTGTGTGTGTGTGTGTGTTGTGTGTGTGTGTGTGTGTGTGTGTGTGTGTGTGTGTGTGTGTGTGTGTGTGTGTGTGTGTGTGTGTGTGTGTGTGTGTGTGTTGTGTGTGTAGATATATATACATACATATATGTATATATGTATGTATATATATATATATATATATATATATATATATATATATATATATGTATATGCATACACATATACATACATATATATATATATTATATATATATATATATAATATATATACACATATATATGTGTGTGTGTGTCTGTCTGTATGTATATATATACATATATATATATATATATATATATATATATATATATATATAGAGAGAGAGAGATGTGTACGTGTATATATATATGTGTGTTATATATATGTATATGTAAATAGATATATATATATATAATATAATATATAATATATATATATATATATATATATATATATATATATATATAACAGAGCGGAGAGATGTCAAAGAACTATACAAAACACATAACGGAATGAGAGACAGAAGAATAAAGTAAAAAACAAGGGAGAGCGCGAGAGAGGGAGAAAATAAATTAGGCATCAATCACGAAATGTCAAACTCCATGCTTGTTTATAAACAGTTAACTCCCAGTTATGAAGAGCCCTTTCCGAGTATTTCATTTTCCAAAATAAACAAGTAAGAAATTTTTCGTAATTATCACTTCACCATGGTTTGTTTATATTGCGATGGACTGATGACCCCAACGAAATCCATATTCCATTTCCTCTTTATATATAAATCGTTAACCATTTCCCTTCCAACGTGGAATATAAAAAAAGATATTACACAGATACGCAGATACGAAACACGTATATATCACAACAAAATCACAATCTATAACAAACCTAAAAAAAAAAATTATGAAGACTTCTCAGCGGCCACGAATTCCTCCAAGTCGTACTGTCTCTCTCTCTCTCTCGAGGAAAATGTCTCTGTGAATATGTGTCATCGTTTTTAAATTCCTGTGTCGTTGTTTACATCTGGCAGGTCACATCTGAAGAGACAAAGGATGCCTCACACACCACTGACTTTATTGAACGGCAAGCTCTTTCATTTTCTGTCCGTTGCTCACGTATAGGGATCGGGAAGGGAGGGACCAATGTCGGAATGGGGGGGGGTGGGGGTGGGGGTGGGGGGGGGGTAATGGGTTGTATGTAGGGTCTGCAGGCATGTAGAGGTTCATACGTATATGTATATAAACGAGAGAGACACACACACACACAACATACATACATGTGTGTGTGTGTGTATTATATATATATATATATATATATATATATATATACATATATATGTATATATATATGTATGTATGTATGTATGTATATATACAGTGTGTAATATATATATATATATATATATATATATATATATATATTATATATATATATATATGTACGTATGTATATATATATCCATATATACATATATGTATGTATGTATAAATATTACATATATGTTTATGTGTATGTATATATATATATATATATATATATATATATATATATATATATATATATATATATATATATAGAGAGAGAGTTTAGAGAGAGAGAGAGAGAGAGAGGAGAGGGAGAGGGAGAGAGAGAAGAGAGAGAGAGAGAGAGAGAGAGAGAGAGAGAGAGAGAGAGAGAGAGAGAGAGAGAGAGAGAGAGAGAGAGAGAGAGAGAGAGAGAGAGTTTAATTACTGACAATGTTTACATAGCTGGTCTTAATACTGCATCACCAATAGGGAAGTGCATTGTACACACACTAAAACGCTTTTTCATTCTAGATCATAATGAATCACAGTATGAATTCCTTCCATCAATATCTGGCATAATTAATCCACCTCTCAGTACCTCTGCTACTCATGAATTCCTTCTATTTTTTAAAATTTGTTCGTGATAATAAAGAGTATTTATATGGTACGTTTACCCGACGGCTCGGCAACAGAACAGGTTCAGAAGAGCTTTTAACACGACGGGTTCTAATACCACAGCTGATTTAGGCAAATGGGATCCGGAGCTGATGATCACGTCCACCTGCGAACAGCTCGATCAGCAGCACTGCAAATGACTCATCAATAAGTCTCATTAGGCCAGCGGATCCCAATGTGCAGCAGGAACTGATATCATCTGTGGTGGATGCCGTGGTGTTGTGTCTGTCAACATCCAGCACAGTTCGCTCTCTTTCTTGGTTAAATGGAGTTAGATAAGACCTGTGATTATAAGGTATTCATATCCTGCCCTGCATTTACTGTTCAGAGGCAATATTTACCTGACTTTACTTTGATTTTCCTTCGGGGGAGAGGGATAATTATTAATAAAAAAAAAGATATTTGTAAACACTTAAGCTCCCACACATCCAAGACTTTGGTGCAACTTTGGGAGACTTACGTCTTCCGCCAAACAAGATTAAAGATACAACTTAACCTTGCCTATCGGTTGGGGTCACACAAGGTCACGCAGAGTCAAAGACGATCTTTATCCTCCTCCTCCTCTTCCTCCCCGTCTAGCAGTGGCTGCCTTCTGCGCCGATCTGTTTAAGAAAGAGGAAGAGGAAGAAGGGAAAAGAGAAAGGGAGGTAGGCAAAGGGAAGGAGGAAGAACAGAAAAGAAAGAGAAGGAAGGGAGAAACAAAGAGAAAAGAAAGTTAAAAAATGGAAGAAGAGAAAGGAAAGAATCGAGGAAAAGGAAGAAGGGAAAGGAAAGAGTCGAGGAAAAGGAAGAAGTAGAGAAAGAATTAGAGAAATGGAGCTGGGAGGGAAGGAGAGAAGAGAAAGCGAGATTGAAAAAAAGGGAACAAAGAGAAAGAGAGAGCCAGAGAAAGGAAGAAGAATACGATACTATGGAACACAAGAAAAAAGGAAGAAAGAAAAAGAACTGAGAGAAAGAGAAAAAAAATAGAGAAAAGGAGAGGAATGGAGAAAAAAATAAAGGATGAAATGATAACGAAACAGAAAGAAGCGTAGGAGAATAAAGCAAAGAAAAGAAGAAAACGAAAGGAAGCTACAAAGCGTAAAGGCGCACAGAAAGCAAAGAGAGACAAACAAACAGAAAATAAGAGAAAAGACAGAAGTAGAGAGAAAAGTACGCGCCATTTTTTTTCCTTCCTCTCCCGTCCACAATAATTCAACATGCCGCTTCTTCCCAGTCGAGATTTTTATCACCAACACATCAAAATATTTCTCCCTCTCTCGCCCTCGAGAGAAGAGCCTCCAACACTGGCTTCTGAGCCTTCACCTTCACTCCGGCAGGTTGGTCGTGGGATAGCACTGTCTGCCGTTACATAACTTTCTTTTTTTTTTTTTTTTTTTTTTTTTTTTTGCTTTCTCTATTATTTTCTTTTATTTCTTACTAAAGGAGCATTTTTTTTCTTTTTTTTTTGTCTGCGTTTTCTTTTTTTCAGTTTTTTGTTGTTGATTTTTTTCTTTTTTCTACTCTCTCCCTCTCTTCTCCTCCTCACTTCCTCCGTTCTATCAGCCTCCCTCCTTTCTCTTTTCTTCCTCCTGCGCGCCTTTCTCTCTCTCTCTCTGTCTCTCTCCCTGTCTCTCCTTTTACCTCCTTTTTCTTCTTGTTTCTCTTCGCCTTCTCTCTTCCGCTCTGCTCCTTCTTTCTCTATCCCTCTTTTTTCCACTTCTTTTCCTCTCTTCCTGTCTCTCTCCTTTTTATTCTCTCGCCCTTCTTCTTCCTCCTCTCTTCCTTTCTCCTCTTTTATTCTTCCCTTGTCCTTCTCTCTCTCTCTCTCTCTCTCTCTCTCTTCTCTCTCTCTCCTCTCTCTCTCTCTCTCTCTCTCTCTCTCTCTCTCTCTCTCTCTCTCTCTCTCTCTCTCTCTCTCTCTCCTCTCTCTTCTCTCTCTCTCTCTCTCTCTCTCTTCTCTCCCTTCCCTCCCTTCCCTCCCCTCCATCCCTCCCCAACCCTCCCCATCCCCCATCCCAACCTTTCCCTCCCTCCCTCAACCCTCCCCTCCCTCCCCTTTCCCTCCCTCCCCTCCCCTCCCTCCCCTCCTTCCCTCCCTCCCACCTCCCATCCCCTCCCTTCCTCCCCTCCATCCCTCCCCTCCCTCCCTCCCATCCCCCTTCCTTCCTTCCTTCCTCCCTCTCCTTCTCCCCCAATCACACCCCATCCCTCCCTCCCTCCCTTCCCTCCCTTCCCTCCCTTCCTTCCCACCTCCCCTCCCAACCCTCCCATCCTCCCCATCCCTCCCCTCCCCAACCCTCCCTCCCCCTCCTTCCCTTCCTTCCTTCCTTCCTTCCTCCCTCTCCTTCTCCCCCAATCACACCCGAGAGCGATGTCAGGGCATCCGTCATATAGATTTCTGTCGTGTGTTTGCGTAAGCGGCGGCGCGGCGGCGGCGGAGGAGAGGGGGTGTGGTACGGGGAGGGGGATGGCGGGTGACGGGGGAGGGGTGGGCGGAGTGACGGGGAGCGGGGGGGTGACGGGGAGGTAGGAACCGGGGCGGAGGTGACGGGGCAGGGCGCCCGGTGATGGAGGTGACGCGGAGAGGGGGTGATGGACGGTGACGGAGGGCGCATGATGGATGGGGACCGGGAGGGGGTGATTGGAGTGTGACGGTGGGAGGGGTTGTATGGAGGTGCACGGGCTGGAGGGCGAGAACGCGGCGGAGCGGGACGGGAGGGTCGGTTGATGATGGTGACGCCGGGAGGAGGGGTTGATGGAGGTGACGGGAGGCGTGGTTTGATGGAGGTGACGGGCGAGGGGGTGATGAGGTGGCAACGGGAGGGGTGATGTGCAATGGTATCGGCGAGGGCGGTGATGGACGGTGGACGGGGAGGGGATCCGAGAATCGGCAGCATCCCGCGCGACGGTGACGGGGACCGGGGGCGTGATGAGTGACGGGCGAGGCTGAATGATGGAAGAGGTGACGGGTTCTCGTGAGGGGGGTTGATGCGAGGTGACGGGAGAGGGAGGTGATGGAAGGTCGTTGACGGGCCTCGTGCCGTAGGGCATGCTGGGCCCGGGTGATGCAGAGCGGGAAGGGGAGGGGGGTGCCGCCCGGTGATGGAAAGACCGCGGGTTTGACCGGCGGTGATCTGAGGGGGTGATGGAGGTCCTTTTTCTGGTGTGACGTGCTCTTCTTCGATGGCCCGGATGGCACCCGCCGGGGACGGTGCTCTCGACTCTCGCACGGGCCTACTCGTCTCTTCTTCCCCCGTAGCTCTCTGATGGGACTGGTTCGTACGGGCGGAGGCGCGCAAGAGCCGCCCCGCAGAACTGTCGCTCTCCTGCTGCGATCATCCTGTTGCACCGCCCCCCGCGAGGGCTTCTTCTGAGACACGGCACCGGCGTGCAGCTTTCCTGGTGACGGGCCTCTCTCTCCCCCCGAGGTCTCTCTCATTCTGGGTGGTTCGGGAGATCTCTCTCTCTCTCCTCTCCAACCCCCTCCCCTCTCTCCTCCTCCCAAGGCCGAATCCCCTCTCTCTCTCTCTTCGTCGCAGGCAGTCTCCTGCGGTGATGGACGGTGCCACGAAGGCCCTGACGGGCGCGCCTGTTGATGGAGGTGACGGGAGGCCCTCGGGTGCATGGACGGGGAAGAGGAGGGGCCGTTGGAGATGATGACCTGGTGATCGCGTCCAGCTCGTCGTCTCTTCTGATCCCGAACCCGCGCGCCCACCCACCCGGCTGGTGACATGGATGGTTGCCCTCCCTTCTCTCTCGCCGCGCGTTCATCGAGGTGACGGGTCCGTCGAGGCGGTGATGGAGGCTGACGTGCGAGGAGGTGTCATGGAGGTGCACGGGCCGATGGCTGTGTGCGCCCTCCCGCCCTCTGGTCATGAGACCCGCGTTGACCCGTGGTGAGGGCCCAAGAACGCGGCGGAGGTGACGGGTGAGGGCCCACCGCCGCGTGATGGAGGGACGGGTCCCTCTCGATCGGGTCTCTGGTTGCATGGCTCTTGATTGCGACGTTGGGAGCGGTGACGGGAGGGGGGTTGCTTCATGATCTCGGTGTGATGTGGATGGTTGACGGGTCGAGGTTCAAATCAGGTGATGGAAGGGGAAGCGGGAGGCGGTGATTGCAGGGAAGGGCCGATCTGGGGCCCCCGCTCTCTGCTCGTTTCATGGTCTAGCTCTCGGGCCAAAGGCGGGTGTCATATGGTCCAAAGGTAGCGGTTGGGGCGAGGACTGCGAGAAACCGGTACGGCGCACTCGGTGGTACCGTCTGCTGAGGTCTTCTGATTGGAGGCGGAAGGCGGGCTCTTCTCCCCCCAAACCCGTCCACGTGTTCATATGGTAAGGCGCGTTTTGGGGCGAGGGTCTGACGAACGTGGAGGTGTGGTGGTTGACCGGGTGGAGGCCGGGGAGGGCGAGAACGGGCCTCTCTCGTGGTTTCCTCGGTCGACCGGGTGAGGGGGTGATGGAGGGGAAGGGCACAGTCTTCGTGCCCTCCCTGTGAATGGTGTTTTTTCTTTAAAGACGTTGGGGCCGAGGGAACGCGGAGTGAGGAGGTGACGGGGAGGGGTGATGGAGGGCAAGGGCGAACTCCGTGAATGGTTTAAAGGGTGTTGGGGGAGCGGCACAACGGGTGGTCTCGTGCTGGTTTGACCGGTGCCGAGGTGCGTCCTGTCTCTAACGGCCGGTGGGCTCTCGTGCCCTCGTCTCCTGCCCGTGATAGAGGAAGGGCTGTGCCGAAGTGGTAAAGGGTGTGGGGAGGAGAACGGGAGTGGAGGTGACGGGCCCAAAGGCCTGCCAAGAGCGAACACGTAGACTCTCTCTCCTCCTTGTCTTCTTCTCCTTCCGTTTCCTACTCCTTTAGTACCTTAATTTCTTGTCTTTCCCCTCTCTTGTTTCCGGGTCATCCCTCTCTTTTTGCTTTATACCCTATCTTTATTCATTATCTATTATTGTTTTACCTCTTTTTTTCGCTATGTTTATTTCTTTCTCTTCGTTCTCTTCTTATCCCGTTTCCTCTCTCTTTAGTATTAATTCCCTTTCCTCTCTCTTTATATTTTCTCTATTATTATTGCTCTCTATGTTTGCTTTTTTTGTTTTCTATGTTTCCATTATTGTTCTCTATGAATTGTTTCTTCTTTCGTTCTTCTTCTTCTTCTGTTTCCTCTCTTTATTATTATCTATTATTATTATTCTCTATGTTTGTTTTCTCTTTTCTTCTTCTTCTTTCCGTCCTCTCTTTATTATTATTTTTCTTTGTTTTTCCCTCTTTATTTATTTTATATTATTATTGTTCTCTATGTTTGTTTTCTTCTTCGTTCTTCTTCTTTTTCCGTTCCTCTCTCATTATTATCTAATATTATATTTCTCATATGTGTTATCTTCTTTTCGCTATCCGTGTTGCCTGCCTCTTATTGTTATACATATTTATTTCTAATATTCTATGCTTCTGTTTTCCTTCTCTCATATTTATTATTATTATTATTATTATAATGTGATTATTTATAATTATCTATTATTATACTATCTATCCTATATTGCACCACTCTCGATTTATTTATACATGCCAGACTTCCTATTACTCTATCTCTGTTTGGCTTTCTTATGCCACTTATCTGTCTACTCTCCTTTACCATTATTTATTCTACTCTATATCCCGTGTTCCTCCTCTTTATTATCCACCTTATATTACTTATCTTATTTGCTTTATCTTACCAGTTATTGATTTCTCTGTTTGCTTTCTTTATCATTTATTATTCTCCTGTCTTTCTCTCTCTCTTTATTATTATTATTCTCTCTGTTTGCTCTCTTTATTATGATAATTTTTCTCTTCTTGTTTATCTCTTCTATTGTTTTGATCCCTTTCTCTCTGCTTTTCCTCTCTCATTCTCCTTCTTTTCTTCTTTCCTCTTCTGTTTATTCTTTCTTACTCCATCTTCCTCCCTTTTCTTCCTTCTCTCTATTTATTTTTCTATCTTCGTTCGTTTTCTTCTTTTCTTTCTCTTCCTCTTTTTATTATCCATACACCCTATCTATCCTCCTAGCTCCATTTCTCTTTCTTTTTCCTTTTATATCCCTCCCTCTTTTCTTCTTTTCTCTTCTTCTTTTCTTTTTCCTTGTTTTATCTTTTTATCTTCCTTTTTCTTTTTCTTTGTCTCCTTGATCTTCAATTCTTCCGCTTCTTCTCGAGCCTACTGTCTCGCTATCTCATTTTTTCAGTCATATTTCCGGTTCTCTCTTCCTTTTCTCTCTCTCTCTTTCTCCTCTTTTGCTCTCCATCTCCATTCTCCTCTCCCTTAGGTCACCTCATTTCTCTATATATATCTATCTGTCTTGTCTGTCTGTCTGTCTCTCTCTCTGAAACTTCCCGTACCCCGGCCTCTTCTCTCTCTCTCTCTCTCTCTCTCTCCCTCTCTCTCCCTCGCTCTCTCTCTCTCCTGCTCTCTCTTCTTCTCTCTCTCTCTCATCTCCTTCTCCCTCCCCCCCCCCTTCAGTCTCTCTCTATTATACCTCCTTCATCTCTTCATATCTCTATCTGGTTCCTTTCATGTCCCTCTCATCTTCGCTTGTCCTCTGTTCCTCTCCTACTCTGCCCCTGTTATCTCTTTGCCCTCTGTCTCTCTCTCTTCCCTTCTTCCCTTCCCCTCCCTTCTCTTCCCCATCCATTTCTCTCCCCTCATCCTCCCTGCAGTTACCTCTCTCTTCTCTATATATATATATATCTGTCTTCCCTCTCTCTCTCCCAGCTCCTCTCCCTCAGTTACCTCTCCCTCCCGCACCATTCTCCTCCCCTCTGCCTATGTCTACCCTCTGTTCCTCTCTCTCGGCTTTCCCTCTCTGTTCTCTCTCTCTCTCCCCCTATCTCTCCTTCTCTCCCCATTCCCCTTACCCCTCCCCTGATTACTTCCCCTGAACTTCAAACCGCTCGCTTTAGTCATCAGAACCCCCCATCCTCAGACTTTTCCTCTCTTCCTTCTCGTCGTTCCCTTTACTCTCAGTCCTACCTTCTGTCTTCTGTTAGCCCTACTTGCTGTGGCTGCCGTGTCCTCTTCTCTGCTTTTATTTGCCTCCTCAACTCTGGGCTCCCACCTTTTCAGTCCTTCTTGGCTTTTCCTTTCCTGCTTTTTTCTCGTCCTCCTCTTCTTCTCTTGTCTCTTTTCCCCTTGTTTTTTCACTTTCTTGGGTCGATCTTCTTGGTCTATTTAGTCTGTTTTTGTATTTTTTTTATTCTTCTTGTTCTTTCTTTTACCTCTACTCTTTCTCTTCCTTGGCTTCTTTCCCTCTTCTTTCTCTCTCTCTCTCTCTCTCTCTCTCTCTCTCTCTCTCTCTCTCTCTCCTCTCTCTCTCTCTCTCTCTCTCTCTCTCTCTCTCTCTCTCTCGATCTATCTATCCATCTTTTTAATTCTTATTGTTATCATTATTGTCTTCCTTATTCTTAATTTTTTACTCTTTAATCACTTATTCCTCCTCCTTTACTAATTCTCCTCCCTTTAGAGAGATAAATAGAATAATAAGATAAAGAGGAAATAGAATGCAAGAGAAGATAATGGAAGAGATCTGACAAGAATGACGTACGGAATGAGGAAGGAGGAAGGATAACAAGGGAAAGGAGGAAGGAATGAAAGGAGAATGCGAGAGAAGAAGGGAGAGGGGGAAGAGGAGGAGGAGGAGAAGGTGAAGGAAGGAGGGAAGGGGAGAGAGGAGAGAGAGAGACGAGAGAGAGAAGAGAGAGAAGAGAGAGAGAGAGAGAGAGAGAGAGAGAGAGAGAGAGAGAGAGAGAGAGAGAGAGAGAGAGAATGGAGTTGAATGGAGAAGGGAGAGAAATAGTGAGAGTGAGAGCGCAGTGTGAGGGGCGGTGAGGACAAAGAGCAGGGTGGGAAAACGGAAGGAAAGGATAGACAGAAATAACTGAGAGTGGAGCGAGGGAGAGAGAAAGAGAGAGAGACTAAGAGATGAAGAAAAAGGAGAGAAAGGATAGAGAAAAGAGAGCAAAAGAAGTCAAGAAAGGAAGAACAAGGGAAAGACCAACTGAAGTCTTTTAACCCGCCAACGTGGGTCACTCACTCTCGAGTTGCCAATGCGGTGTGGTCTTTTTCTCCGCCTGTCACAAGATTTTTCCCTTTATCAGTTTATTGAATTTTACCTCCCCTGCGTCCTCCTTCTCTTCCTCGACGCCGCCGCCCTCTGTAACCGCGACCTCAGAACCGGAAAGAGCGCGAAAGGGGAGAAGAAAAGGAAGGAAAAATAGTAAAAAGAGCGATAGCTGGTATCTGATCTCTTGTCCCGATCAGCTGACATCTGTTGCGCTTCCGCCGCCAATGTTCCTGCATCGGCCAACCTACAATATTTATTAGCTTTTTTTTCTCTTTTCTGATTTCTTCTGACAGCCTCCATTATGAGATAACCAGCCAGGCCAATAGAGAGAGCGGGAGGGAGGGAGAGCGAGGA